GGGCTGTCGTGTCAGCCCGGGAGGAGCGCCAGGCCCGCTGCCAGGACAGGGTCATTTCTGGCCTCGGATACTAGACTTTGGATTACTGCTGGGGAAGGAAAGCCCCGATGATAGTGCTGCTCTGGCTCTGCAGATGTGGGATCGAAGCTCTTACTTTCTGCAGACTTTCCTGTGTTCTCCGCTATCACTCACCTAGTTTCCACCGTATTTCTCTGGACTAGCACTAACTTGGTACAAAAGGTGTCCTGAGGAGAACTATACTGGCGATAACTTTCTCACCGTACCGCTGCCTTAATGATAACACATATCTCAGTGACACTGTTAGATTGTTATTTCTGAAGTCAAATTTTTTATATGAACTTTCTCATGTATGAACAAAAATACAAATTAGGAATCAAGCTTTTTGTCAAAACGCATGTTGTCTAATGCATGCATTCAGCGAGTCAAACCAGATACAGGATAATATTATGCAGGATTAATTCCTAAATGTGTAAAATGGCAAATTCTACAGTAATACCTTATCTACAAATTTTAAAAAATATCTCCATGTAATGCTTGTTTAACAATACACATCTAGTCATCACAATCTTAAATGGCCTACTACCATTTAAAATACAAATCTAGAAAACATAACATTGTATTTTATGCTGCATTTTACCATAGAATGAGTATCATTTTTAAAAAGCCATGCTAGTTCAAAAATAGTATAAGAAATATAAAGATCTTGCGTTGTGTAATTATCACAAGCCTAACGCAGTGGCATTGCCTCACATGTAACAGAACAGGAACTCCGCCATCATTTGAGCCACAGTCTATTCTTTCTGGCAGCAAAAAACCTTCAGGATGCTTACCACTGTTGCTTTACGTATCACAAAGTGTATTTTTAGAAGCATAATATTAAATATTCAGTTTTGAATATGTTAATCCAATAATGTAGAGAAATAGGCAATATTATAGTAAAATAATGCAAGAGAAAAGAATGTTAGATTTTTTTTTCTTTTTACGAACATAAATCCACTTTTAATTTCACCAGTATTATTTACGTGTATTCATTTGTTTTTGTTTGTGTGGACTACAGATAACAACACTTCATGTGCCACAACTTATTTTGAATGTTACAGTTAGACTGCACTGAGCATGTTAAGACAGATACATGTAATTATTAACTAAAACCAGAACTAGAAACAGAAGCAATGAAGAATATGTAAATTTTCAGTGACAGTACATCTTTAAAAAGAAACACACACAAACAGCAAATGTAGTTGAGGTAAACAAATCAGCTCCCTAGCAATTTGCTATATTTGGAAACCCATAATGGCAGTATTTTAGGATATCAAAAAGTACACCTAGAAGATGTTTATAGTTACATAGCAATTCATAGGATGGTTAATTATTAAAGGGGAATATATTGGAAGCAGAGACGTAATTTTTTCACTGGCTTACAATGCAACAATAATAAAGAAAAATATTTTCTTATTATTTTTCTTTTCGAAATTTTCTTTTTCGAGTTTTGAAATTTGAATTGAATTCTTCCATTATACTATCTGAGGCAGTACATTTCATGGTCATTAGAGGAGTAATGGAGTTGTAATCAGGTTTTTTTTTATTTTGATATTCGGTAAAAATGGTCAATGGCCACCCAGAGTGCATTGCTAGTACTGATTCGTCATTATTATATGAATAAATATTTATAAAATATATTTATTCATTGTATTCATAGGATTATAGGCTCTATTATTACACAATTCTAAGCAAATACAGAATTGTTCTAGAATTAATTTATTTTGCTGGGGAGAAATCAGATTTGGTTTAATGAATACATACATTTTAATTAACATGTTTATGTTGATTTAATAATGGAAAAAACTACCATCTATAACCGTTAAAATTCCTCATTCCTCTGCTTTTCGTTAACTGAGCACGTAGGAAGGCTCCAGGACTCATCCCATTTGTTCCTCCGTCAGGAGCAATAGAAAGTTTTACATGAGTAATTACATCGTGCATTTGTGTGACATTGCCATCAGAGAAGTGCCTCTTATTAGGCTTTAGCTAAATCAAAATTTTAAGGCAAGAATTATATTACCTTACAATACCATACCTAATCATATCTTTTAATAGAGTGAGATTTAAACAAGAAGATGTTTTTATCTACAGAATATCAGAATAGCTTTTGATAAAATTTAATAGTAGAATAGAAGAAGCTACAAAATTCAGGAAGGAAGTATTGATTATTGTTTGGCCTCTTGAGACTCTCTGTTCCTTTCAATACACCTAAAAGTAAGTCAGGCGAGCAAGACGTACATCCGCTTTATTATGTGTTTGTAGTGCCTGCCTCCCCACCAGTAAATGTACCATTCCTCATCTCCTCAAAGATTGTACAGGGAATATAGAAACTTTGATCTACTGAGTTGCAGGACTCTCTGGGACCACGTCTATGCCAGCAACACAAGGGAACAGGATCTATTCTCTGGTTCAGAAGCCAGTGGGTGGGGGGTCTATACAGCTAAATTGTTTTCACTCCTAGAAGAGGATGAACATATCCAGACTGTCACTGGCCACATTAATGGCCAGTTGGTTCCCAGAAGGGGGTTAGGAGAATGTTAGTTAAGCTAGGACGAAACCATGCCAAGGATCATCCCAGCAGTTTAGCCATATGACCAGAACATGTGAAAATGCTCAGACTCATGCCCTAACCTTGTGTGGTGTTTTAGTAAAGAAATAGTCAATTAATTCTACCCTCCTTCTCCAAGTTCACCATGATCATTTAATCTACTTATGGTAAATTTATCTTCGCAATAGAAGACGAATGGATCTACCTTGGAGCCTGTTTAAGGTTCCATTTCTTAGTTACACATTCTTTTTTTCCTCCTGTGTGTTCAAAACAGAAGCGTCAAGTTTACAAGCATCTGGGAGATTACCTAATAATGAGCAATAACATTTTTGTTAAATTATAATCATTTTAGTCGGAGAAGATTAATTTATAAAATAAATTGTGACTTTTATATCTGGGGAATTGGGTAACTAACTTCTCAAATCAGAGACTGATTGATTACTTCGTGCACAAACATCACCTGATTATCTTATTTAGAAGCCACTAGCAAATATTCCATCTGAAAAAATGGCAATGATTCTGTTTATTCATGAATACTATGAATTATTCAAACTTTATTTTGTAATTCTGGTCAATGGTAGCGAAATTCTGCGTAACGCATTTCATCAAAACATTAAATTCATGGCTTTGCATTTAGTCATTCAGTCAAATCCATTTTTTCTGTCAGTACTGTTTGAATTACTTTGTAGTTTATCTGCAACTGTACTACTTACTGTATTACTTAAAAGACTTTGGTTTCTTTTCGTAAGAATAATTAATATAAAGGCTAAGATTTTCTGTTCCATTAAATTAAGTTTATTCAGACTTACCACAGTGAGTCGAATCCTGGCCCTACTGAAGTCAATAACAAAATCCCTCTTGGCTTCAAGGAGGATAGGAGCTCACCCATGGAACTCCCCTGAAGATTTCTTCCGCTTAGAACTATTTCTACTTGACTACAGCCAGAAGAGCTCCATACCAGACTTCCTTTAATGCACAGATGGAGAAGCTGTGCACCAGATCCCAGGTGAGCGCACATCACCAGCTGCCCTTTATGTTTTATGCATAAACGTATAGACAGTCAAATACACACTGCAAAAGAATCCATTTTTTACATATGAGTGGCATCTATTTCAATATGTGACGGAACACAGCATATGCCAGGCAGAAGATTGCCCGTTCTTCCTCCAGCAACAAAAGAAAACTTTTCTCAGCAGTCTGAAATTAAAAGGAGGGAACGAATTGGTGAATCGTAAAAGCCAAAAAGAGAAGAGCAATGCATGGTGCATTTCTGACTCGACTACTTGAAGGAATTAGCTAATTAGTTATTACCTCTTGAACGAATCTCGTGAAGTAGAATTCCTCCCACAATGCATGTATATACATTACCCTGTGTAAATCTACATTGGAAATGATTGAACTTTGTATTTGAAGGGCTGAATGAGGTTTAAGATCTGTAGATCAGTATAAATATAAGAAGTTTAAAGAAAAAACTATGAAGAAACTCAGTATGGTTTGTCTCTCCTGTCTAAACTCAAACATATAATGGAAGTGTACAAGAGGTGAAAGCAGGGACACAGTCTGAGCATGCAGGGATGGGGTTAGGAAAGCCAGTACCCATCTGGCTTTGAATCTGACAAGGGGCATGAAGGGCGGCAAGAACGTCTGCAAGTACATCAGCAGCAAATGGAGGACAAGATAAAATGTAGGCCGCCTGGTGAATGGGACGGGGGCCCTGCTGGCAAAGGACATGGAAAAGGCTGAGTCACTGAAGGCCTTTTTCACCTCGCCTTTACTCCCAAGACTTGCCTTCAGGAATCCCCCGACTCCCGAGATCGTTGGGAAAGTCTGGAGCGATGAAGACATACATACCCATGGTGGAGTAGGATCAGGTGAGGGAACACTTACAAAAACGGGACATACACAAGTCCATGGGCCATGATGGGGTGCATCCGCAAGTGCTGAGGGAGCTGGCTGATGTTACCACAAAGTAGCTTAGTTGTTTATTTCTGCAGCCAAATCCAGTCCTCTTCTCCAGTCACAGTCACTGGCAGTGAAGCCAGAGTAGATCTGCCAGGCAAGAGGAAAATCTGACTGGGAGACTTGGCAAAACATGTTGAAGAAAAGCCACAGTGATGCATGACACCTATGTGGTGAGGATCTTGTTCAAGCTGTTAGCATCTCAGCTATCAGAAAAGAGAAGGGATGGAGCCAGGATAAAAGAATTTGCCCTGCCCCCAGTCTTCCTCTGAGGGTGTCACTTCATTCCTTCTTCCTGTAGCAGCTGAGCAATCCACCACGGCCTAAGCACAGCAGTAAGTCCCGCCATATCTCCCTCAACTACTCCAGTTGGCTGCTGGTTGCTGCCTTTCACCCCGTATGTCTTACCTGTTAGTAATTTCACACACCGCATGTTATCAGTGATACTTATAAAAAGCAATCAAACCAACCGCTGTTTCTTCCCTCATTCTCTTTCACTGTCACGTCTCCTTTCTTCCTCATATCTCCTTCATGTCCCTGATACTATGCAGTTATTTGCAACAATGCTGTTTTGCAAACGTCGTATTTTCAGGAATTACTTAATGCCAGTTACTAACTCTAGAACGCACTTCCTTCTAGAATAATATCCCT